AGCTCCATGGGATCGTAATCGCTTGGGATCGTAATCGCTTGGGTTGTGGAAACACTCGGGAAGATCTGAGATAAGCACCTGAGCCCTCCTCCCCTCTGGCTGCCATCCCAGATGAAGCTCCTGTGATGGGCTGATGGAGAATGGGGTGCCAGGCATTGGGGAAGAGCAATGCTGCTGCCGAGGCACGAGGGGACAGGACCAGACAGGGACAGGAGTGGATGTGGTCACACTCCTCCTTGGGGGGCAGGAGCAGTGCCATGGGGTGCTGGCTGCACTCAGAGGTCTGGGTCCTCAGCAGCAGGAAGCTGCTGATGCCGCTTTGTTCCCCCTTTCCTTACAAGTGAGGAGATGCTGTTATGCCACATGTGGAGCTGGCAGCCCCGAGGTTCACCCCCAGCCCTGGAATGAGTCTTTCCCTCCACCTCCATGGACAGGGAGCAGGAAGTCGGGAAGGATCGGGCAGAGGAAGGGCTCAGCTCCGCCGTAAAAGCGTGGCCACAGATGACTTTTCCCCTCCTTGGATGGACACTGTCCAACGTCAGCACAGCCCTGACCTTCACACTCTGCCTGGTGAAACACTCAAGCTTTTCTATCCCCCAAACCCCCACAGCACAAGTGGGAAAGCAGAGCTCCACAGCCAGCTGGTTCCTCCCACCACCGTGTGCTGCCTTGGTTTTCCTGCAGGTGAACAAATCCCGGGTGTAAAAGCAGACACCACGGGATGTGGGATGGGGGTAGGGATTGCAGCTCCCTCAGGCAGGCTTTTGCAACACTGCACAAGTGGCGTGTGCAATCCAAAGGGAGCAAAGAGCTCGGGTAAGGGTTGCAAATGCTGGCTCAGGAGGGAAAAGACTGACAGATGAAGTGGTTTTAAGGTGGGGAAGGACTTGGAGAAGCACATGGAATTATCCTCATCATAGGACCAAATGCTTGACATTGCTGGACCTCTCTTACAAGAACTAATGAACCTCTTGTATGTTCTAACACTTTACTCGTTGTTACAAGCAAGGAAACGGAGGCACCGGGAGGAGAATCGCTTCACCAGCGGCTGCTCCATCTGACCCTCTGCCACCCGCTCAGACCCCAGCCCAAAGAGGAAGCTGAAGGTTTTAGCTGTTGATGAAAATGGATTTTGAAGCCTCCAGTGAGGTCACCAGCCCCTTCCCCATGCTCAGGCCAAGCCTCAGCCGTGCACTTGACTCCACGTCTCCATTGTGTGTCTGAGGACTCCTCACGCCTGTCCTCAGCGGGCTCTAGACAAAACAATCCCATTTCTTTCCATCTGTCCTTGCAGGTCCTGTTTTTCCTACCCCTCTGCTCATTCTCACTGCTCTCCCCTGGATTCCCTCCAGCTCCTCCCAGAATTGGACATTTTTCTAGAGCTAGGCCCTTACCAGGATGGAGGAGAATGGCAAGCAGCACTCCTGGGGATGCATTCCACAGGGATCTTTGCTTTGTTTGGGGTTTGTTGCAACAACATGACTTCTTGGCTCATGTCATGCTTCACTGCAACCCCTAGGTTTCCTTCTGAAAGCACTCTGGAATTGCACCAGGTTAAGGATGGAGCTGCTCCCCCTGCTAGGACTCAAGTCCAGCTCTAAATCCAGCTTCCAGACCAAGCTTCAGGCTTTTCTCTGGAATATCAAGGATATCTTTTGCCCTAGGGGATGGGTGATGATACAACAAGCACTCCACAGACCTGCAGCCTCTTTTCTTATACTAAAAACCTCCAGACATAAACCCCCTGGTTGACACCTGGGTAGCAGAGGTAGGTGAGAATCAACTCAGCTCGCCTTAGCAGCCTGCAACACCGAGCAATGGCCACCTTGTGTGGTTGAAAGAGGTTTGGAAGTTCCAGCCAGCATCCCAGGAGCAGTGGAGCCAAGCACTCACCTTGTGTCCCAGCTGTGGGCAGAGCCAGGGGAGGGAGCCAGCTCCTGACACACACCAGGCCCAGTGCTCCACAGGGAGTGAGCAGTTGGCCATGGTGTAACATCAGAGCTGGCTCCGACTCGCCTCCTGAGACCCAGGCTCAGAGCTGGAGAACAGCAACACCATCTCCCAGCTGTGGGAACCAAAGCAGCACAACCACAAGGCCAGACATCAGGAAACAGCCTCAACCTTGAGGGCCAGCGAGGGATGGACCGGATTAAACTGCATTTCCACAGGAGACAAAGATGATTTTACCTAAGAACGTCCCTGATCTCAAAGATACTCAGCTTTACAGATGTTCTAATTTGTGCTGCTTCCTGTGATCTCTGCAAACCAGAGCTCTCATCTTCTCAGAAAGCCTAAAAGCTGACTGATGCCTGCTGTGCTATCAGTGCAGCAGCCCAAAACCCACTGATACCTGTGCTGTGTCCAGGGCTTGCTCCAGGAGGATGACACTCTCCTGCTTCCTCACCTTCCTGGCATTGTGGCTGCCCCATCCCTGGCAGTGTTCAAGGCCAGGTTGGACACAGGGGCTTGGAGCAACCTGCTCTAGTGGAAGGTTTCCCTGTCCCTGACAGGGGGTCAGAACTGGATGAGCTTTAAGGTCCCTTCCAACTAGTCTGTGATTCAGAAAAACATCTCTGTTCCTCCTCTGTGGCAGCTCTTTCCAGATAGGGAAAGGGCCATCTCCTCTGCAGCTCTTCCCAATATCTTCCCAGTGCATTTTTCCTCATTATCTCTAACTTTTTATGATCCTCAAGAAGTATCTTGTTCCTTCCCCATGGGGAATTTAGTTACTTCCCCAGAACTCTGTAACTGAGTTGAACTGGTTGGGAGATGTGTTGCTGTAGAGCTGTCATGCCTTTACTTTGCAAGTATTTGTGCTCTTTCCAAGTTTAAGATGTGCTGAATCCATAAACATGTAACAAGCTCCATGTGCCGAGTGCTTCCATGATTAACACTGCAGTGGTGACTTCAGAAGAGCTTCAAGTATTCCTTTGAGTCTCCTCAGGCAATTGCAGGATTGAACCTTCACATTTTGGTTCCTGGAAAACCTTTCAGCAGATCACAAGTAGCTGCTGTTACAGATAGGCTTCCCACATGTTATTCCCAAAACTGCTCCCAGATTTAGCTTCCCCTCAGAAATGGAAGCTCTAAGAATGGAAGTAATGAGGTGCAGAGAAGCAAACTTGTGATTTTTAGAGCAAACAACAGATTTGAGGTTTGATGAACAGCAAAAGGGAGCTCAGCGTAGATGGAGGGTTCCTACCACCCAAGTACTGACCCAGCTCTGCTTTAGTTTTAGGGGTGCCTCTTGGACACAAGAGCCAACATGAACGTGGGAACGGCGCACAGCGAGGTGAATCCCAACACCCGGGTCATGAACAGCCGGGGCATCTGGTTGTCCTACATCCTTGGAATTGGGCTGCTGCACGTCGTGCTCCTGAGCATCCCCTTCTTCAGCGTCCCTGTGGTTTGGACTCTTACCAACATCATTCACAACATGGTAAGGGAATGGTGTGGCTGGCTTGACTTCCCGGGGCAGGGAGAGGTCATCTCTCAGCAGCAGCTTTTCTTCTGAGAGCCATTTAGGGAGATTCTTGTTCAAACAATTCCTTTCTCTTTATTTCTAAAGATGCAGTGTAAGTTACTCAACCTCCACCCCTCAGATTGCACCTTTGCCTCTAGGTCATAGATTTAAATCCAGCCTAGGTACTGATGAGACAGCAAAGATCTGGTGAGGCTGCTCAGAGGGGACACTGAATTATTTGCCTGTAGGGCAAGCCCTTTAGCTGACAGGTCACAGAAGGTGGCAGGACAGCCTTCACTTTGGTGGCTACAACCTGAATTTGCCTCAGCAGAGTTAAGAAAACAAAACTAAAACCCAAACTTTGTTCTGCTTAAAGATTAGTCCAGGTTCAGCCACTTCTAAGGACCAGGTACCCAGATGAATGGGTGGCAGTGCTGTGCTGGGGGCACAGAGGCACATTCCAGGGTGCAGGCCAGGAGCTGCTTTAGTGCCTCCACCATCCCACTGCACAAGTCTCTGCATGTCCTGCAGCTGAGGAGCAGCCCTTCAGCCTCAGGCACAGGGGACAAAATACCTCAGAGATGCAGCAATTGATTTTGCATCCTTTATTTAAAATAATACCTCAGCCTGAGAATATTCCAGAGACAAAAGCGACCCCCTTACCAGGAATCCTCCCGCTGATGTTGTTCACATCTAGCTGGGGGGGAACCCACAAACCCACCAACAAGAGCTGCTTGGAGCTCAGCTCCCAAGCTGCCTGCTTTATATCCAGCTCCTTCCCCTTTTCGGGCAGCTTAAACAATGAGGTCATGGGAACAGAAAGGAGTTTAAAAGCCAGCAGTGGCGACTCTTCAAAGCCATGTGATGCAGCCAGACACTTGTTGTTTATCTGTGCCTTGGGTTCCACTCCAAGAGGTTCACTCGTAATCAGAGTAGGAACAGACCCTCACTGCCCACAGCTCCACCAGCACCTTTTTTAGACAGCCTTTGGCATTGGTGGTGCACGGCAGAGTGATTCCACACTAATCTCCTGATCCCAGAGACGGGAGCGCTGTAATCTTGCAACCACCTTCTTGGCTTATGCCCAGAAGCTGAAGCAGAGGCCTCAAGTGTGACAGCCAAGCCTGAGCTAACCCCGGGTGCCTTCCTTCCCAGCTCTCCCCGCTTCCTTAGCTGCATTTTCCAGCGGGGACGATGCATCCCTCTAGTGGCACAGCGCGCTGGTGCAGGCTCCCCAAACAGTTCATGAAGCTGAAGGTTTCTGATGGTGTGGAGGACCCCTGCGTGCTTCACACTGCGTTTGTATTTGCTACAGAGCATGTACATCTTCCTACATACCGTGAAAGGAACTCCTTTTGAGACTCCGGACCAGGGCAAGGCTCGGCTGCTCACGCACTGGGAGCAGATGGACTATGGAGTGCAGTTCACGGCATCACGGAAGTTCCTCACCATCATGCCCATCGTCCTGTGAGTACTTCATGTGCTGTCCTGGGAAACAAAACCACAAAGTGCTATAACTCAGCTCTCCCCTCCTCTGTTCTCCTCCTTTCCAGGTATTTTCTAACCAGCTTTTACACAAAGTACGACCGCATCCACTTCGTCATCAACACCATCTCCCTCATGAGCGTCCTGATCCCCAAACTGCCGCAGTTCCACGGAGTCCGGATCTTTGGGATCAACAAGTACTGAGCTGTGTGGCCAGAGCGAATGCAAGAGGAGCAGGGGGAGAGGGGGATGTTCCTTCTCTCTAGTCCCATTTCTCCTTCCCCACGCAGACTGGGATGTAATTTCACAGCGGCTGTTTAACTGCAGTATCCGATAGACATACACCGCATGCTGGATCCTCACGCCCAATAAACCTAAGCCAGCTCCAGAGTAGAGTTTAGCGGGAGCAGGATGCATGGCACTGGATTTCTTTTATTCCAGTGTCATAACTAGATGCAGACTTCAAGGTACAACAAGGATGAATTCTGGTGGGATTTTAATCTATCCCAGACATTGAATGAAGATGGATGAAGGGAAAAGCTTTTAGTGCTGGTACTATTGCTGTGGTAAATGCACTTTAATATATTTCCCTTTCTGAAGCTAAGTGCTTTAAGTGATACGTGGGGGAAATTCAAAGGGATACAGCCAAGCTTTCCCAATACCTGATTATTTTGGGGTTTGAGTTCCATTTTAGGGCAAGGGAGTGGGAAGAGAATGGCAGATTCTTATTTTGCAATCTTTTATGCCACCGAGAAAGGAAGCTCTTTAGTAAAACCAGTAGAGGAAGGAGTGACCTGCAACTTGAGCAACTTCCCCTTTTCTGTGGTACCATTTGTGTGCTTCAGGGAAAAGCTCAATAGAAACTACATCAGATTTGTTATTCTCAGCGTGTACCAGAAGCTGATTAACAGCTCTCCAGCCCAAACTCCTGATTTTTAAGGGCACTGTGAGTGCTCAGGCAGTGCAGCACTTGGACCAAGGCTGGGTGCAGGTCAGTGATGACTGACAGCAAATGCCAGGGAGCAGCTCGCACACAGCGACTGCTCCAGTGTGGGAGAAGCTGGAGACTGACAGGCCAAGCGAGATGGATGGATGATGCCTGCTTGCTGTAATCAGTGACTGCAATTGGATTGTTTTCTCCTCAGTACAGCCCTTGGTTGCTTAAGTCTGTGTCCATGTTACTGGGATCTGCCAGTTCTCCACTTAGCCATGGACTTGACTCAATTCCTGACTCGAGGCAAGCGAGTGTTCCAGTTCTGGCTTACCTGGAAGTCTGTCACTCAGCTCCATGCACGGCTCCTCATGTGGTCATTGATGAGGGAGCTGCAGGAGAGCAATACCGACCAGCCCCAGCCTGACCTGGCCAACAGGAGGACACAGTGTGTCACTGGTAATAATTATTCAGTACAGGAACAAAAATCAAGCCTTTTTCCCATTAAATTCCCACCTAAAGGATGCAGGTTTGCAGGTTTAGATTTCCTGGCTGAGAGAGCTTTCTACTGTTCAAAGTAATTTTTTTCTTTTGGGTTGTGTGTTGATGAAATGTGTGAACCCTCATGCTTCCCCTGTAAAAGCCTCTATTTTGTTGTCTTAGTGCTTATCTCACACTTTGGACAATGGTATAAACATTTTAAATATGTCATTTTTGTTCCTGCATTAGCTTTAGAGGTCAGAGTGGACATTGTTGAGTTGTTTGATGGTCTGAGCATAGGACATGGGTGGGGGAACTTCAGGTTTGCATCTAAGATCTAGTACTACTCCATGAGGAATTTTAGGCAAGCTGCTTTACTTCTGTCTCAGACTTACTGCTGCAGAGAAGGGAAAAACATTTCATGTACCTCACAGAGGGCTGCTGGAATGCAGAAAGAATCATTATCTAATGTCTGATAAGTGGACATATTTGAAGTGAAAGGGAAGTTTTCAAGAAGGTGGGAAGAGGAAAGAGTCTGGCTGGATACATGAGTGCTGTTCTCCAGTTTGACACATGTGCAATTTACTGGATGGGGAGGTTGAAGCTTTTAGCCACCATGACATAAGAACTGCTGCTTTAGTTAAGGTACTATATACCCTAAAGCCAATATACTCTTTAAGCTACTAGACAATGACTTTTGGGAAAAAATACTGTTTTCAAAATAGAGATATTTCATCAATCAGCCAAGTACCTTTGAAATGCCTGAGATCAACAGCATCAATGCCCTCAGAGGTGGGGTGTCTGTAACACAGGCTGCATGTTGCTTTAACAGATCTAAGTCTGCCCACAGCCCAGGCTGCTAAATCTCCAGAGAAAACAAAACTACTTATTTATTTTGGTAGAAAACAAGAGGAAAACAACTTTTTTTTTGGCAACAGAAACAGTCTCTGTATCCTTAAAACCATTACTCCTGTACAGATGTATGCTGATTATTCTAAGTACATGCACATTACCCAAAGTCAAAGGAGTTTTGGTATTTTTAGCCTAAGTGTGAATTGAAGGTGGGGCTCAGTTTTTCTCAGCCTGTTTTGTTAAATTAAAGATCAACCCTAAACCACTGTAGGATTAGAAACTTCTCCAAAAGGCCTGTTTTTAAAGCCTGAAGTTTAGAACTTCTTGTTAGACAAAGCCTTAATTCTAATAGTAAGCTTTTCTGATTTACCTTGTTCATGTGAAGGATGAAAATAGCACAGATGTGTTCCATGGCAAATGACATTCTTTACAACACATGCCATAGGATAACTGAAATTAACTCAGACTCATACAGTTAATCCAATCAAGGGAAACATAAATGAAAACTGGAGAAATCAGGAAAGAAGCAAGAATGGAAGTTTTTATGATAACAGTGGGGTATGTTAAGTATCTACACAAGATTAATAATTATCTGAGCAATTATACATCTGATAGTATCTTCCTTAAGATCCCATCTTAAGGGTAGGTATCAGAATTAATCAAGACTAGAAAGTGAATTTTAATTAAAACCACAGCCACAGTTGCTACTTGATGGAGGTATCTGAAGTGAAAGAGTTTTGGGTGGTGCTGCCTGAGCATCCCCTGTGCCAGTTGCACAGCTCCTTCCTGTTGTGTTACAGGAGCAAGTGGTGCCCAGCTTCAGCTTCCACTTGGAAACCACCACTGTAGTAGCCTGGCAGTACTGGACACAGTTCTGGGTTTCCTGGAACTGAAACCACTTTTAGTTTCTTTGTGCATGTTAAATTTATGCAGAAGCATGTTCAGCATTCAAAGGCTGCTCTTGCACACGCACAAGAGTGGAGTCAAAACACTAAAACTCTCAAGGGATAAGTGATTCCTGAGAAAAGGAGATCAGGACAGTGTGGGCAGGAGGAGGGATTTCCATACCTGCAGCCACTAGAGCAGTGATCCCAGGGTGAAGCCCACCTTCTGTGTGGAGAACCAGAAAGTGAGCACAAGGACTGTCTGCTCATTCTCTGACTGTAGAGTTTTATCCAAGTACCTGTGTGAAGGAGACGACTGTTACTGGTTTTAAACGGGATTTTGATCATGACAGATTTTCCTCCCAAAACTTGTACTGGCTTCCTGCAGAGTGACCAGGGCAAACTTCAGCCAGAGAATTAACAGTGGGCTCCATCCTGTGCCTGAGAAACAGTTAATGGGTAAGCAGGTACTCCAGATGCTTTTCTTTTTCATTCTACCAGGAATGCTTAAGGAGAAAAGCTTTTGGAAAGCACCACTTGAACCATTCACAGGCACTGGCAGAAGAGGTCTCCCTGCCCCGTGTTGCCCTGGGCAAAGCCTCTTCTAAGCCACAGTCAAGGCCACGCAGGTATTCACACAGAATGGCAGTTGCTGCATCAGGGAAGTCAGAAAACAATCAAGTATTCACAGTCTGATGCTTCTGCGTTAGGGATCCTGTCCTGCAATGCCTTTAACACAGCCCACAGTTCAACCCTTGCCAGGAAAAAGCCTTTAAAAAACAAAAAAAAAAAAACAAAACAAAACAAAAAAAAAAAAACCCCAAAAAAGAGAAGAGCAAAGCTGAGATCTGGGGCTACCGAATTCCCAAGTACTTGTTTTTAATCATTATTTCATTTTTGTTTTAATAGACATGTAGTTCTGGCCCTTGCTAAAGGGCCAGGAGCTGCTTACCACTGTCAACACATTAACATTTCTCCTTGTGACTGACATTGCTTTATCATTGCCTATAATCTCTTCTCAGCATGCAAGTGTTTGTGTGTCTGTAGCCTCCCTGGAGCAGTTGGAGTTGAAGTAGTTGGGTTTTTAAATGGAACATTCTGACACTGTACAAAGTCATAGGGTTTTTTTTCCAGTAGCCCTTCTTTTTGCTGTGGATACACGAGTCTCATCTAGAGAACTTTCTAAATAAAGTGTGAATATTTTTATTACTCCTTTGTACAGTATTCTAAGAGAAACTAATAAAGTATTCCTGTAAAAACCTGGGTTTGAGTGCTTGCATTGTTCCACAGACAGGCTTTGCTTTTAAACCAGCAGAGGAAATAAATGCTCCATGGCAATTCCAGTAAGTGATGGATTGAGCAATGATGGATCCCTCCGCAGGAAACTGCACCCATGTGCCACACAAACCCCTGTGCTACCAACAAGCCATAATGCATGGCATCATATATAAGCTAATAATATCATCTATAAGACAATATAAGTTCATAAAAGTTCCTACAGCAACATCATATTGCCCCCTTATCAGCACCACACCTGATGAGCCACCACTCACCCGGGTGAAAGTGAAATCCTCCTAAACTCAGGACATGCTGCTCCTCATCCCAACAGGCAGAGTATGAATGAAAACCAGAACCATGCTGGAAATCCATTCCTAGAGGAATGTCTTACCTCTCCAAGTTACCCACAGCCACACTAACCAATCACAACAGCTTGACTCAGCTCAGTGACTAACTTTTAGAGGAAGAATTACGCAAGCAACACGTATTTTTGCCTCATCCAGCAGAGTTTCCTGATCTCTGACAGGAAAGTCAGGGACAGAGGAGCCACCTCTGCTGCTGCTTGAGAGGCTGCTCCGCTCCGGAAGCTCCGTGGACTGCTCTGCGCGTTGCCCACCCGTGGAGGAGAAGCCACCCACCCCACAAACAGGCAAGTACATTTTTAAGAGCTTTCAGTACTGACGAGGGGTAGAGCAAACTAGGAAGCGTTCTGGTTTCATTTTTATCGCTGTTCAATGTCTCCCAAGGGAATGAGTCCTGCCAGTGCTTTCTAAATGATCCCACAATCAGCACGAGATGATATCCCCTCTCCAGCTCCATCTCATACAACACAAAGTTCTTCATCACCCCTTAGACACACCAACTGAAGCAAACCTCAAACTCTGGACTAAAATCAACAGTGATTTTCTTTCTGCCTGTTAAACAGCCAGTTCTCCTCTGGGGGGACAAGGGCAGAGCACCAGGGCACATCCAAGGAGCTGTGCTGGGAGTATTTCTTTGTATTTTGGTGGAGATCTGCCACTGAACAAGGTCTCCTAGTTCCCTACTTACGTTTCTGAGTTTCATTTACACTTCTACTTACAACACACTGTTCACCTCTCAGCACTTTCACTTCTCACAGCAAGACACAAAACACCATCTTTTTGTGCTGCTCTTACTTTGAAGCACTGCTGACTCTTTCCTGCCAAGCAACACAATACACAGGGAAAACAGCAAAAACCAGCAAGAAACTGCTCAAGCTTTTTTCTTCTAAACCTGCATCAGGGCACCAAATGAAACCGATTCAAGCATTTAGGACCATCACAGGTCCTAGGTTAAGGTGCAATGTCCAGTAACAAAAATTATCATGGTATGTACTGGTACATGCAGCAAAATAGCTTAATTGAAAGAGCAACATGAGATTGCAGAGCTGAAGAGCAGTGCTCCCAAATAACCTCTACTCACTAGCAAGGGTAGGGTGAGTCAAAATGAGCCTCATGCTTCTACCTCTCCAAATGCTTCCTTATAAACCATCCCATCCGAATTGTGTCTTGGACTAAGATGGGCTTTTTGGGGTGCACATCCATTTGGAAAAGTTCTTCCTAATTAAAATAACATGTTTTGTTACAACCTTCTTGTATTTCAAGTGATTTGGCTTAATGCGTCTTGCCTCTCCCTAAGGCACAAGTCCACATTGCCGTGGCTCAAAAATTCATCCAGCTGCAACAGGATGTTTAAAAAAGTCACCCGATTCATAGTGAATGAAATGGATCCAGATGGAGACCTGGTCCCAGTTCGCAGCATTTTGGACCACGAACATTTCAGACCCCTCTGCCTAGTGAGAAGAAAAAGAAAAGCCATATTCTGCCCATCTCCCTGCTACAAACAGACGTGGTACAAACTGGATGACGTGCTGCTGCCTGGACAGGATGGTAAAAGCTCAGGTAAAGGCCACATTTATCAATCTTAAGCTCACAATTTCCACAGACTAAAAATTTGGATCATTTGGGGCTGAACTCCACCATGTTCCATCTTTCTCGTTCACAAACAGTTGTAATATCGAGTCTGTGTAATCAAACTTAAGCAAATGCATGGAATGTTTTCAGAGTCCCTCATTCCCGAAGGAAGTGATCAAGATTCAAGGCAATTTCTAGTCAAAAAGAGCACCACTGACAGAGTGGATGGGAGTCTCAGCCTTTCTGCTGACCCCACAAGAGTGGAGCTGAAAGGAGCTGCCTCCTTGGCCAAGGAGTGGTCCATCAAGCTGCAGAAGAACCACATACCACCAAAAAAACTCGAGGCACTGAGAACAGAAAGGTAAGGCAGGCCCAAAGGGTCATCCTCCTCTGCCCCATGCCAGGTCACACAATGGACTTTCCAACAGCCAAACCCCAAGATTAAGACCCAGAAGCATGCATCCTCCCGGAGCACACAGACTTCCAGAGGCAAGGAAAGAGAGGTGATGAAAATTCCTTACCCAGCTTTGTAATGCTTATAGATCTCTCTGCCATTCAGAAAGCAGGAACACCTCAAGATGGAGTCAAGTCCTCTTCCTCCCTCATGGTTTGTACCTGGAAAGGAGCACTTAGATCAGGACACATCACCCATCTGACCTGCCAGGCCACCACCTCACTGTCCCTCAGACAGAGATGGGGAATGCATTGAGGACAGCAAGAATTCCAAGCCTATTTTCTGCCACCTTTTTCCCCTCACTTCTGAGGTGATATTTTCATGTAACACAAACATACAGTCCTACAGGACTTTGTCCTAACTAAACCAGGATTCTTTGTGTTTTTTAGGAAAATTAATACAAATCACTCCTTCATTCAACAACTACACAAAACAGGCCAGAAGTTGTACGTGGTTCATGAGACCATAGAAACCCTGGAGGAGGCCAGCTATGAGGAAACCTCTGACGCAAGGGGGAACTTCATGGCCCAGTTTTACGCCGAGTTCTGTGCCAAGGTTTGGTTTTTCAGGCTCAGGATTCAGCCCTTCCCCACCCTCTGCACATCTTCCAGGCCTGGTAACACGTTTATGTTTCACTAACCAGGGCGCCAGAGAGAACAAGCAAAGCATAACCATACCCAAGGGCTGCACCCTGGCCTTCAAAGCATTCCAGCTGGCCATTTCAGATGCATCATGGGGTAAGTAACTTCCAAAACCTGCCAACTCCTCTATTTGGGAAACAGCACTGAAGAGGAAAGATGTTTTCTGAAGCATTATTCAGCCTCACAGCTGCTCGTTTCAGGACACGAACACAATGTGAGTGACAGAAGTCCCCTGGGAAGAAGGCTGCACATAGTGTACAAGTTAAAAGAGCTATCTGGGAAAGAGATGCAGCTTCGTGGGGGGGTGGGGTGGGTGGAGATAAGGAATGAGAGAGGGATACTGAAAGCCTCAGCTCCCAATTCCAGGAACTGCAGAGCTCCTGCTGAGGAACAACACGCAGAGCTAGTTTCAGTTTCTTTTCTTCCCCAGAAGGACAGTGAGCAAACAGGGTGGCTGCTCCTTCACTAGGATGGGCAGAGAAAGAAAGGACTGAGCGCCACAAATCCTGCAAGATTTGAGAGCGCACATTTGGCTTTCTGCCCCTGTGCTCCCCATGCCTGCATCAATCTGGTTGAGTATAAGCTGTCATATTAATTTCCTTGTGTTTTAACACACTCACTGCCTGATACAGACCCCGACGTAAGGCACAGGACAGTAGGGAATGAGATTCAGGAATAAGGAGTCTTAAATGAACAGATGCATTAGAGAAGAACACAGCCTGACCTACAACCAGCATGTGAGATCTCAGACCTGGGACACCAACATCTTCAGGCTTAAAACCAACCACCCTGGTAAAAAATTACCCCCCAGCTTGAAGCCTTTCAGCAATGTCCTTTTTCTCCTGTTGCAGATCTTCATCATTTCCCAGAAGAACTTACACGCAATTTGGTATCTGATGGTAAGAAACGTATTTTACTCCTTCCCCTTGCACTATTTCTAAACCCTTTGGGCAAGATTGAATCTCTCCAGATAAACACAAGCCACCCAAATCAATGTCTTTGCTGTAGTTCAGAGACAGGACAACTCACAGTTGCACATTGCTTTAAAAGAAAATATTCATAGAAAAGTTTCAAATTCTAAATGTAAGGTGCCAGTGAACTTGCCTGGTTTGAAAGTGATATTTGGGCTCGTTCTGGTTTTCAGGTGTCTTGCAAGGAACATTAGGAGCCCTGGAGGCAGAAGTTAAAAGGAATTGTCACATTCTCTCCACATTGTCTTCTCAGCTGTCCATCATCTTCTTAAAAGCCATCAAAGCTGTGATGAGAGACAGGAACCTCTTCCAAGAACTGAGCCAGAAGGTAAGCAAAGCTCTTCTTACTGCCAGCATTTATAGATGGAGACATCCACCTCTTGCCCCAGAAGCCACCTCTCCTGTGCCACAACTACCAACCCAAAAAGCCTACATTCAGTTCATGTCTGTTCTCCATCACCACACAGGTGCTCAGGATAGTCAGCTGCAGAAATGTGTCCTCTGTAGAGCCTAGCAGGTTCACCTGAAGGTATCAAACTATTTAAATGTCATATCCTGTCTTTAACTGGAGCCAGCTAAAGCCTCAATTACAGCCTCACAAATAGCTTTTAGGGAGGGGAAGACACATACTACATGACTGTTCACATGCTCCTGGACTGCAAGGGACTATCAGCAGCCTCTTAAATCCTGCTGTTTCTTCCTGTCTCCCCTAGATGGAAGCAGTTCTTGATGGAGGTGACAGTGGAGAGCTGAAAACAGAAAGTGCAGCCTTAAAAGAGCTGCTGAGCCACTTGGAGCATTCCTCAGCACACATTCTCCAACGCATGGCAGCAGCCATCATCTACACTCTTGATGCTTTAGAAGGTAAGGCTTACTGGCCAGTTTAACAGAGAAATCCAGCAGAACCACAACACATGAAGAGCATTCCTCACCCTTCACATCTCCCCAGCTGGCTCCAATTGTGGTGGGCTTTTAGCACAAGTTTGGTTTAATTCTGCAGAGCTCAATGAGGATCAGCTCCAGATGCTGCTCGAGTCCTTGGAGAACAAGATTGTGTCCAAACAGCTTAAGCTGGTGAGAGAACGTACACCTCATTGGGCTCAAATGAAGGGACAGGGGGTGGCTCTTATTTCAAGTAAAGCAACATTTACATGATGATACAAGTAGCAGTATCACAATTTAGGGTAACGCTGGGCAAAAGGAAGGAATAATTGCTTCAAATGTGGCAGGGATCAGAATACTTTAAGGAAAATCACCCCAGGGCATGAAAACCAAAGACTTCTACCAACTCTTTTCCTGATAATCAGCATTCAACTGGACTCATCTACCACCACTTGGCTGGAAATGGTGGTCAGGGATCTCTGGCTTCTTTGGCTCCTGATTTAAAAAGGAACACAGCATAAACCCCACCGTTTTACAATTTTAATTTCTTGGCCATAACTAGTTCCCAGGAAGCCAGGAGCTGAATACACAGGCACAACAATCTTTCAGGTTGAAAAGTCCCATTATGAGCAGCACTTCACAAACCCAACAGATCATTTACTTAACACCTTCTACAAATGGGATATTAAAATATGGATTTTGCCTTTCTTTTTTGGTCTTTGCTATGAAGGTTGAGAGCATCTTGAAACAGAAAGAACACGGGAAGGGAGTCAGCAAAGACCCCAGCTTGCTCTCCTTCTCCCGAGAGAGGGAACACCAACTAACCATTGTAATGATGGAGATGAGTGGGGTGAAGCTCGATGAGGATGGATCTGCTGACTGCACAAAAGAAGCCTTCTCAGCCACAGCAGCCCTGTACGTGTCTCTATATGTCCTCAATCTTCTGAGTAACCCACATTAGATTACACAGTCCTCCCATGTGGGATGATTTAAAGATAGTCATTAACCATGTATTTGAAAGTCTCTTACCACAAGCCAGCTTCTTTCTCCAAGTTTCATCCCTGCATAGGTGAGGCTCTTACACTGCTTTGAAATGAGTGGCAAAGAAAAAAAGCTGTGGCTGCCCCATCCCTGGCAGTGTTCAAGGCCAGGTTGGACACAGGGGCTTGGAGCAACCTGCTCTAGTGGAAGGTGTCCCAGCCCGTGGCATGGGTTGGAGCTGGAGGAGCTTTAAGGTCCTTTCCAACCCAAACCACTCGATGATTCTAGAACCAAACTTAAGGCGAGAAAACTCCTTATGGAAGCCAGATCCCAAACCTGGTTTTTCTTTCCTCCCACATGAATGCAAGATGCCAACTGCAAAACCCACTACCCAAATAATCACACACCGCTTGGTTGAGCTTTACGTGACCCTGGTTTTCCTAACCCCAAACCACTACCACAGCTGCTCATACACCAAGGAACACACGAGCAATCCCTCCCCAGTAACACCACAGCTGCTAAGTGGGATCTTAGCGCCGTTTGACCGTGCCCACCCGGTAAACCAGCATCACCCCCCCCACCTGCGTGTGTGAAACCACGCTTCAGAACAACGCTGCAAATACCTCGATGGCTGCTTTATAAATAAAGTTCTTTACTGACCAACAGAGCGCTTTTAAAGGGCGTTTTTCACCCTGAGGTAACGCCGCGGTGCTGCCGGCCCGGCTCCCCTCAGCTCGGGGGTCCC